AGGAATGCCTTGAGAGGATTTCGTCAAAGTTGAGCTCAAAGTTTGAACTAAATTTGAACTAATTAGGTTTTGGTGGTCAAAGGTCAAAAGTCAAGGTCAGTGACCTTATGTTTGTCAATTGCTGTCAATTTTAATGGTTGGCGGAGACATACAACCACAAAGCAGTAATCCTAGTTTAAGACTGTGTCTGGCAAGTCCCTAACTACGTATAACCTTGTCTGATGTGATGATTTTTATTTGTATGTGTGTGTGGGCTATTTGTGTCCATAATAATAATAATTATAGAATATCAAGAAACGAAAGAGAAATAGATTATTCTCATTCTAAACCAGTAATGCTCTGTATCAAATAGTGTTTATTTCTGTCTTACTAGTCACACTTTGCTCTGCCATCCTAACAGGTTGGCTTCAGCTCAGACTTCATTACCCAAGATGGTCTAAACCTCCTGTGACACATTCTTATGATATCAACACACTCCCAAAATGAGCATTATTGAGCCTGCTCAGGGATGTTACAGTATGAAATACACACACGTGGTATGGAGCGGGTATGTATATGTGAGGACATGCCGTGCATAAAGAGTAATGCCATGCAGTCAGTCACACGCACTCTCTGCTACTGTTTTGTGATAAAATACTTGAGCGCATTACATAGGGGAGACTGAGCATTGGGGTAGCAATCACAGCATAGTGCTATGGAACGTAATTAGTTCAAATAGAATTAGTTGTTCATTCTGGCTATAGCCAAGGGAACTGCGCTTCTAAAGTTTGTAATTATCTGGCTCTGGCTTTAAAAGCAGCACCACTGCATTGCCTATCTGCAGCCGCTGAAATCTAGCTCACAGTAATGAGTTCGGAGGAGGTGGTTTAATTCCACGCTCTTCGATGAGCATAATGAGCCTCACCTATATAACAGTGGTCGGGGCCTGATCAGGGAGGAGCAGGGAGGGTGAGAAAATGAATGCTTTAAATGTGTTCAGCTAAAAACATATGTACTGTACACCAAGTCTTAAAGGGACAGTTAATTACATATCAAAAGATGCTGTTAAGATGGACATTATCTCATCTGGGCCTGGAGGAAGGGATATCAGCCACTCTTTCTTAACCTCAGATGTTCTAATACAGGCCCAGAATCAGCAAAAAACTATCTCACCATATTGACTGCATCCGCAAAAGGGATTGTGGGTGATAGAAGACGTGGCACACACAATCCCCCATGATGCATTGTGCTTCAGGGCTGAGACCTCAGCCTGTCACACCCAAGCATGCTGGGATGTTGCCAGGCAACATGACATCAGCAAAGATATGTGTCTCTGTCTATCTCTGTGATTTCCTTGGGACTGAACGACTGTGTGTGTGTGTGTGTGTGTTTAGGGGGGTTTATCAGAGGAACAAAAGGTCCTCTTTGACTGCCTTTCATTACTATGATTAAATCCTGCAAAAATTAAGCCCCATTCCTATTATATATGAGCTCCACAGCAGTACATAAATTTCATCCAGTATTGGGTGTGTGTGGGGACTCACCTCCAGACTTGACCTCAGCCTTAGCATTAGTTGTTATAACAGATGGATGCACTTACAGTCACTGTGATTACACATGATTAGAGCAGCACTCCAGGTATTGCAATTAAACACAATAACCATTTGTTAATGTTTGAATTAAAGGGCCAGTTTGCCCAAATTAGAAAAATACTTTATCTAGTTCTAATTATCTTAGCCCAGGTTTTGAGATATATCTCTGACATTTCTTTGACCACCCCAGTACAACTAAGATAAATGGTATTTTGCGTGTGGTGCACACACTATTAGAGTATAGAAAAATTGCACGGCCCCCTCATGGCTTAGGGTTAAGATGCTGACCATAAACCACCATAAACCATAACATCATTGGTTCAGGGGCCATTGATGCATAGCTCCTTCATTTTGTCATCTTCACTACTGCTACCTAATGTCCCAAAAATAATTAATATCAGAAGCACTTTATGCTGAAAGATATGCTGTGATAGTCCGTGTTGACTGCACGGTGTGTGGCCTTTTACAGAGTAAGTAGGACAGTTGTATCCACCATATGATGCTTTGAGCACCAAAAAAAAAAAAAATGTGGTCACCTCCATTGCACTGGAGTAGAGGCAGAACTGACATGACAGGTATCTCAAAACTATATGCATGGTTAGAAATGAGAAAGTATTTTTCTTTTGTGTGTGTATTTGAGTAAACGGATTATATTATTACAGTATAACATGATTACCAGGGCTGGATTCTTCATAGTGAGGCAATTAATTGAATTTCTTTGGCGTATGATTACCTCCAGATTATATTAGCTAAGTATTTGTTTTCATCTTAAAATTTGATGATATAGCACTGTATCTACACAGTGACATTTTCATACATATATATACAAAAACATATTGGCATACTGTATTGTAAGATACATTATACATTTGTGTTCAAAAAGCCTGTGTAAGAAAGGAACAGCAGGAAACTGAGAAACTTACATAAAGACTTCTCCTTTAGTTCAGCTGATACCTTAAGCTGGTGTAATTGTGATGTAATTGTACTCATTGTGTGTTTGTAACCCAGGTGCTATATCTGACCCTTAAGTCTTTTTTGAGTCATTGTTTTGGGGGGGATTGTGTTTTCTTGTTCCGGCCCACGATCTTTGTCTGAAGCTCTCTCTGTCTCTTCTACACAATGACAATCACACATGCTTGTACCGACAGTTTTCAGTATAGCTACAGTATGAAAATGGTGGCATGATTCTACGTGAACTCAACACTGCAGATCACTACTAATTAAGTACTCTGCTCACGTTCTCCTTTCCTTAATCCAGCCATAGGAGGTAAGCACAGACACCAATCTCACTGTTGATGTCTTGGTGAGGAAAATCAGCCTCCCTTATCAGCCTCCCACAAGCAAACCTAAAACTTGCTTTAGGTGTAGTTAGTATCATGCTGTTTCTGCAGGAGACATACATATGAGAGAGTGAAAGACCTGTGTAAGGTTGTGTGTGTGTGCCTGGCATTACTCGCACTGTGAGGACCAAAGCCTGTTTACGCACTCACATTGTAGGTACTCAGCCTTCCTCGTGCTGGTCCCCACAATGTAAATCATTGAATTTAAAGGTGATGGCTTGGTTTAAGGGCAGATACACACCAAGCCAACATCAAAGAACTAGTGGGGATGAAGTCATCACCTCACGTCACCTTGGTCTGGGACAAAAAGTGGCACTTGAGTGCACCACAAAGACTACAGCCAACTGTCAAGTAACACGTATGTTCTCCACCTGCATGACAAGAAATAACTCCATACCAGCAGGGGGCAGTACCTGTATTCATCATTCAAAAATGAAAGACCCCCCACTGAGAAGATACAAACTGTAAAC